CCAGAATTCCCCAGCCAGCAAATGCATTCGCTGGCTGGGGAATTCTGGGAGTTGAAGTCCGGACATCTTCAAGTTGCCAAGGTTGAGAAACACTGTGTTAAACACAAAACCCAGGCAAGACGCATGACAAAACCGCTTTCCCAGTCTGCCGAGATCATTTCAGAAGGCAGGAAAAGAATTCTTGTTTATTTGTGATGTTCTCTCGAGTCCCGGATTGCCAAAAGAAGCTGCAAAATGCCGACAAGAAATTATAGCTTCCCTTCAGCTTCCCGACGCGAACAGTAGATTAATGAAAGAAAACAAAAAAAAAACACAGACACTTAAAAGTTCTTTAGCAACGAGAATATAGGAGGAGGGGGATAAAATTCACATTATTCAAGTGCTACAATCTTCGGTGGGCTTTCCCACTGACGCAAACAGGTAGTCCTCGACTTATGACCACAATTCAGCCTGAAATTTCGGTGGCTAAGCGAGGCGTTGAGTGAGCTTTGCCAAGTTTTACGACTTCCTTGCCACCGTCGTTGAGGGAATCACTGCAGCGGTTAAGTTAGTAACGTGGTCGTTAAACGAATCTGGTTCCCCCACTGACTTTGCTTGTCCGAAAGGTCACAAAAACGGGACACTGCAACCGTCATAAATACGAGCCAGTTGCCAAGGGTCTGAATTTGGATCACGTGACCACGGGGGAAGTCTGCAGTGTGAAAAACTTACCCAAAAAAATATAAGTCACTTTTTCCACTTCGAAAGTCACTAAGGTCGTAAGTCGAGGACTGCCGGCACAGTTTATTTTGAATAAGTGCTTAAAATTACAGCATTTTCTTTCTTAACTGCTCCAGTGCCATCTTTACCCGCGTTGCCCTGACTCGAGTCGCCCCCTTTTCTAAGCCAGCTTGAACGGGGTCCAGCCCTTCTCATCTGCTGCTGGGTCTTCAGCGTAGGAATTGGGGAAAGGATTGAAGAGGGGTTTTGCATTAAAAAAGGGAACAAAAGTACTTTTATTGGGGGGGGGGCGATCCAAAAGGCAACCTAGAGATTATTATAAGTGCCAACGGATGGCCTCAAGAGGGCCCTTAATAAAGAGGCGGCATTTTTGCATTCATTCAATTGCTGGATAACTAGGATAACAATTCCAATAACAAAATGGTTATTAAACAGAACAATTTAATAGCTCAGGATTAATTTGATATCACTGGGGAAACCATCTCTACATCCATCACCCACGCATTGGGTGACGCGTGTACAATAGGGGTGCCCAAGCGGGCAAACGTTAAGACCTGTGGACTCCAACTCCCAGAATTCCCCAGCCGGCTACTCCACAAGTCTTAAAGTGTGCTGGCTGGGGAATTCTGGGAGTTGGGAGTCCACAGGTCTTAACGTTGCCTAGGTTGGACATCCCTGGTGTAGGAGAAAGAGAGGCAGAGCCTGGAGGTGGAGTCAAGAAAGGAATCAGTCTGGAATCCTTGACAGCCTCACAAAATGGGCCAGGTCTAAATCCTTCTTGGGATTCTGTTAGGAATATAATTCTAACAGTTGGGTTGGCAATATATCAATCATGTAACCTGTTTCTTTAAATCGTACTGTAAAGTGTGATTGGTTGCTGTTTCCTCAATCGGCCATAAGAGGGAGCCAGAATGACTGTTAGCTCTCTCTGTTTGTTAGATGCTGGGCTGATCTGATCTCTGTGTTGGAAGCTTAGGAATGAGCAGTTACCAATGTTACACGTACCTAACAAATTCCGTTCACCCTTCCTCGCTCCAGTTTACTGCTGGCCGTGAGTTGACTAGATTCTTCAGTACAGGCCTGAGGAATAAATCAGCTTCATGGGAACGTGAAGACCTGTGGTCCTGCTTCTTCGTGGCTGACCACGGAGAACGTGGCACCTTCTGCGTGTTTGACTCTGCCACCCCCCACCCCCCCTTGGCTCACTCCATCTTAAGATGGGTTCAGAAGTGATTTCACCACTCACTCCAGACTCCTGGCAGGAACGAGCGTGCCTCTTTCCGTCACAACTGAGCGTAAGGGGTCGACCCACGCCCTCGGCTGCCTCCCAAAGGCATCCAACTAATAATACCCGGGAAGCAAAGATGGGGGAACTACGAATCTTTTTTAGGCTTGTGGACTTCAATTCCCAGCATGGCTGGCTCAGGAATTCCGGGAGTTGAATTCCACAAGTCATCCACCTCCGTCTTCAGGGATCAATTCCCACATCCCCCAAAGATCCAGGTCAGCGCATCCGCAAAAATCCCAGTTGGAAAAGGTTTGCCGATGTGCACAGCAGGACCACGAGGCCACGTTCCTCGTCAGGTGGGTTTGATTGATCCTCGCAGGGTCCTAATCTGGATTTGTCCCTATTGCATATTTCAAGGATTGATCCAACGGGAGCGAAAGAAGTGAACTGCTGGTGTGATCGGCTGGAATAAGTACACTGAGGAGGGGCTTGGCGGGCAACGGCGGGAATCTTTTCATTGGCACATAAATGCAGGTTATATTTGACCACCGACAAACCCCCTTTCCCGAGTCTTTAAAATCAGTCAGGTTCTAGCAGCAGGAACAGAGCTACGGAAGGGTGTGGGAGGTGCCCCTCGATACGTCCGTGGGCCTTTTTTCCTGGATAGGTTCTCCACGTTCCTCCAAGCGAAATCCTCCACCGGACACCCCATTTCTCTCCACCACCCATCTTCAGAAGAGGGCGACGGGCCACCCACTCTCCTTCGCGCTGAGAACTGGGGAAGGGATGCGATGAGCAGGTCCGTAGGTGGGCAGTGGCTTCTTCCAGGACTAAATGTTTCTCCCCCCTTCGAGAAGGCTGGCGAGCCCCCCCAGCACCAAACCGAGCGACCTCGGGATCTGATCGCTCTCCTCCAGGCAGGATTCAAGCGTGGTTCTGTGGGCAAAGGACACCAATTTGATCACGGACCCATCGACGGCCGTTAATCCTCCTTGCGCTCCAGAGCTGACCCGCTGTGGATCCCCCCACTGGCCACGGAGAAGGGCAGGGTGGAAAACAAAGAGTCAGCGGCCGCAAAGGCCCCGCCGGAAATCTGGGCCAAGCTAGCCGAGTTCCCAAACGGGGCCACCATGTTGAGCCGCTGCAGGTGGTGGTACATGATCTCCCGAGAGGTCTTGGCCTCGGCACTGCTGATGTCCATCAGGCTGAGCGGGTGGTGCGAAGGCGGCAGCATGTTGCTGGGCATGGCCAGGGTCATGTCCGCGGGGGCGTAGCGAATGGTGCTCGTGGCGTAGAGTCCCGGGGAGCCGGCCGGGGAGCCGGGGTGCGGATTGCCGAGCTGATGCATCAAAGGGACGACCACGTTGCTCGAGTGGAACCTCTGGAGGACGTCCATCTCCGTCGGGTAGATCAGCGGGGTGAAAGGCGTGGCGCTGCCCCGGTCCTCGCAGGGGGAGCCCGAGAGCGGAGGCGAGAGCGTGTCCCCCGAGGAAGACGGGGCCGCCCGGGGAGAGGCGCCGAAGGGCCCCTTGGCCAGGCCGTTGTCCACCTCGGGCGGGGTGAGCACCGAGTCGGGGATGGAGACGTACAAATGGGAGGACGCCTGTCTCACGAGGGGCTTCTCCAGGCGGAGGGATTTGTTCGCGGGGCTGCCCTTCGCCCCCGGACAGGTCCAGAGCCCCACTTTGGCCTGGGGGACCTGCTCCGATTTGATGCTGAGGGCCGGGTTGGATCTGAGGGAGGCGCCCTTTTGGGTCTGGATGACGGAGGTGAACTCTGACGTGCAGGGACGGGCGGGGACCATGGTTTTCCGTCCGCCGGTCTTGCAGCCGTTCACCTTCCTGGCCAAGGCCCCCGTCTGCTGGGGGACCATCTCCGGCTCTGAATCGCTGCTGCTGTCGGAGTCCTCGGAGCTGGACAGCGGAGTCTGCTCCTTCCCCTTGGATGGGGGGCTCTCCGGAGGGAACTCCAGCTTGATCCTCTTCCTCGGAGGGGTCTCTGCATCGCTGCCGGCACCGTCCTCCGATGCTTCCTCTTCTGGGGGGTATTTCGTTTCAGGAGCACTGGGCTTGCTCTCCACCAGGTGGCAGTGCCGCCCCATTTCGGCCACGCTCCTGGGGTAGGACTGGGCCAGGGTCCCTGGGGGTTTGGCAGCTGGGCACGGGGGCTTCCCCCGGTCACTCTCTGAAAAGGGGGAAACAGGGAGGGTCAGACAGAGAGGGAAGATCCCAACCAGCCATCTACCTGGCACCAGATGTTAACCAGAGGGAAGTATGGACTTTGGTAAGACCCCGCTTGCTATCCGGTGTCCAGTTTTGGTGACCACGATACAAAAAATATGTTGAGGCTCTAAACAAAAAAATAAAGCAGGGGTGTCCAATCATGGCAACTTTAAGACTCGTGGACTTCAACTCCCAAAATTCCCCTGGGGCGGCTGGGGAATTCTGGGAATTGGAAGTCCATCCATCTTAAGGTTGCTAGGCTTAAACACTCCTGATTTTGAAACTAAAAACTAGGTTATTTGATTTCCATCCAGTCTTGGCAACTTTAAGACCTGTGGACTTCAACTCCCAGAATTCCCCAGCCAGCTTTGCTTTGAAAGATGAAATCCACAAGTCTTAAAAGTTGGGGGGATTCTGGGAGTTGAAGTCCACAGGTCTTAAAGTTGCCAAGACTGGATGGAAATC